CTGAAGTCAAGGCGCAACCCTGGAGCAGTGATCTTTTGGCACAATTTAGTGAAATACAATTATTTGAAGAAAAAAGATGCCAAAGTCTGCCTCAGGTTGCCTATATTTATTTTTAATTTCAGCCAAAATGGCCAAGATATCTTAAACCTGTATCTGGAGGACCCTTATTATAAATATTCAAACCTTACAGCATGGACTTGGAATTTAGGGAATGGGTAGCCTTTGTGCTGTGGGTAGCATTTAGCTATTATTTTGCAAATTGCCTGAATTTCGGGCAAGAGATAAGCTTCAGATAAATTGTAAATTGTACTTAAGGACTATGTCTTTGAAGATTCTTCCTCTTCTCTCAAAGACTTGGCTTTAGTCTTTCACTTCAAATACTGTAGATTGATTTCCTGGAGGAAGTGAAATTGTTTCTGGGAGAGCCAGTAGTGGGAGGAGAGATGAAATTGTTCACTCAAAGCGTAACACATTTTGCACAAAACATTGTTTTGTTAGTGAGGTGGCAAAGTTAAGCTCTTAAAATTAGAGGACAGCAAGATAAACATGGCCTGTGCAATCTCCTTTGGTCATCCTTGTGGAAGAACCTGTTGTGCAGCTCTGCAGCAGATTGTGTGGTGAAGGCATGTGGGGGTTGTTGAACTTTTCTCATTTTTTTGTGCATGTTGGAACTAGGGTGTCTTCTGAGGTTCCTGCATCATTCAAAGTATTGTTTCAAGATAAGGCCGATAATAACTGCAATGGAAAACTGGGTTCCATCCCTGCTGTACTGGGAATTGTCATCACCATCAGAAATTGCTACCATTGTAATTCAGATATGAAAAATTTCTGCTATTCATCATGAGATTCCTAGTCTCCTTTGCAAAAGCACTGCACATTCATAGCTGTGACTGAAGTCAGTGTTGCAGAGTAGTCAAGACAAGGCTCTCAGACAGGCATGAGAAGGACACAATGATTATGTGGATGATTATGATTAGATTTATTGCTAATATGTATCTAAATATTGCCAATTCGTTTTAAACTCTCAGGCCAGTGTGCACCAAAGTCAATAACAACATCTTACCTCTCCATCTCTGGAATGTGAGAATCCAGAGAGTTCCTTCTACAATACCGATCTGGTTTTCTTAGCTGAGGACAAGCCACATTTTAAAAGCTATCATAATGTACATTTATTGGGGAAGCAAATAAAAGGTTGGATAAACTGGTGGAGTGTGAAGAGCAGGAATTAATGGGATTTTGAATTTAAACTAAAATATACCATGTTCTGTCAGCATGGTATTACTTTGGTGATTAATGTGTGTTGAGGATTAACAGTATGGCTGATAGAGTTGTTAAGAGCTAGCTCAAAGAAGAATTGGTTTAGCCAGGTCCACCCAGGATCAAAATGTGTGTGACAGATGCTTGTAATCATTTGGGAGTCTCTGTACTGCATTCCCAGTATATTCTGCTTCCCTGTGAGGTGTCCTCACCCTCTGAGACAGTGGAGAATGGACTGTAGAAGGTGTATTGCTTGGTTTGTTTCTTGTCTTTGTACCTTATTTCAGCATAGTTTCATATTCTTGGCAATAGGTAGTTGTATCTTGAATTTTCCTTTAGGGTATATATTTTATTAGATGGTGGTAACCATAGCAAAGTCTCCAGTGTCACAGTGTGGCATGCTGTATTTGCAGCCACTGTTCCACTTGGGAAAGCATGTTGTCTTCTACCTAGAAATACAGCATGAAGAAAAAGACTCCATTCATCTATACAGTACCAATTTCATGGAATACCATTAGAAAACTGCTTTTATACAGTTTGTTCTTTGTTTTCTTTTCTAATGCTTTCCTGAAACTTGCATTCATGTAGTTTTCTTCAATGTCAGTGGTGCACACAAGCACTGGAGCAGACACTTGCCTGCCAAAAGGGAAAACAGGTTTAGAAAGAGCTGTCTCCGCAGTGCTGTCAATTTTCCTGGCTATACTAATGTTTAATTCAACGTGCATTTAGTCCCTACCTTGGGAAAAGAAAAGCAGCTGATGCTGCCTTTGCTCTACTGCTACCTTCTTTTTCTTAAAATGAGAAACAATGTACTCTAACATTTTAAGTTGCTTTCACAATTGGTACCATAGTGTTTAGTTACTTTTATAAGAAGGACTCTAACTTAGTCTTATGAGACCAAATACTTGAAAGTTTGAACAGAAAAGACTTTTAATTCCTGTTTCTTGTCTGAATGAAGATTTGGTAGAGATTTCTCTATGTCTGTAGTGTGTCTGTAGGGCAAAAAATAAATGCCAAAAGACTTCAGCACAATTGACTCTCTAAGTTTTCCAGGATTCAGAGGAAATTGCTGCTTACGCTGAATTTTAAGTGGATGCATGCAATCCGTTTTGGAAGGTTTTGATACAGAACGTTATATCAGGCTCCCACTTGCCTCGATCCTTGGGGTTGGAAGAAGAAGTTAATGATGCATAACACAAACATGATCGTCATTGATGTTTCTGTATGGAGAAAAGGCATCCAAATAGTAACTGAAATATAAGTGTAAAAAAATGCGGTTATCCTGACCATTTATCACAAGCACATTGGAAATAAAAAAGGTGACTTATTGCTGTTCCTGGTGATATGACTCTGAATAGGATGAAAAGCTTTTGGTGAATATAAAGGTACAGCTGGTGGGGCTGGCACGGTGGGGCTTTGGGGATGGGACTTTGAGAACTAGTATTGCTTTTGTCTTCCTCTGATCTGGTTTCTGTCAGCTGACCAGTTGCAGATTATAGAAATCAGTAAAAGGTGAAGGAGGCAGTAAACTTCCCACCTATCAAGTTATCTGTCTCTCACAAAGGCTGAAAGACTGAACTTGCATTCCTTCAGCCAGCCCACACAGTGCTCAGGGGCCATGCTGGGTGTATCTGAGGATGGGACAGCATCCTGGTCACCCTGACAGGCTTTCTAAATGGAAATTTCAGGCTTTTCTTTAAACTTCTTTGAGCACTGCAGGTGCTACCAGTATTCAAAGATTTGTATTTAGGTTAAAGAAGAGAACACATTATTCCAACAGTCTTGTATTTGTCTTCAATAACAGTTAAACCATTAAAATGAGGGTAATCCTCTGAGCTTCTTATTTGACACTAGCCATTACTGTAGTAATGTGTTTCAGCTGATGTTTTGCCAGAGGCAGACTCTTGTGCTGGAGTTAGTACTCAAAACCTGTTAGTTATTCAAACAAATGACAAGGTTAGCAGATGACTTTGTTTTGTTGGTCATATAGTAAAAGAAGACCAAAGCCAGCAATGCGAGGATGCATACTGAAGGATGACTGGTCCATTTTTGGCATGGTTCATTGATACAGTCCCAGAAAACTAACTGGGAGAATAGAAGAGGAATATGTACCTGAAGTGGCTAAAGATTTACAGAAACGATGAATAAGTCTTTAAACTTAACAGAGTCTTTATGCAAAATGAAGTTCAGTGGAAGTAACTATTCACTGGTAGAGATGTAGTTTTAAATTTTCTTTCTAAATGCATTCACCGAAGTGTGAACTATAAATTGAAGAATTGCTTCCTGTAGCCTGTGTTTTGGAAGTTCTATTGTGTTGTGTTTAGTGTGGTCTGCCTGTTTGAGTGTGCCCTTATGATACCCTCACTGTTCATTTTGAGATTCAAACAATTTCCTGCAGTCAGGGCACTTGTTGTCTTGGAGCTAAATAAGAATTCCTGAAAGTAGTTGTCCTAGTGCACAACCTAATCATACAGTGCATCTTATGTCATTGCAATGTTCATTCTACATACACGGTAGGTTTTTGTAGTTTGCGACTTCAGAAGAGAAGATTATGCATAGTAGTTGTGACTAGAACGAATTTTGTGTCTTGGGTGTGAAATTTCCCATGTATCCATACAACTTTGCAAAAGAGAACTAAAGAATGCCTCCCATTTTGGGAAATGTTGCACAGAAAAACCATTCTGCTTTGTGGAAGGCAGCTTTTGTCAAAAACTCTCACCTTGAAAACTGATTATATTTAGCTGGGCTGTTCCATATATGAGGCAGGTATTGCCAAGCAGCTTTTCAAGGAATGTTGGATGATTTTTACCAGATGTGTTCAGAAACTAGATGTGGAAGGCAGAGTCGGTCTCTGTGTCTTTGCTGGTTAATCTAGTGCATATTTTTGCTTTGTTTATTCTAAACATAGTTTCAGAAGCTGAGTTGTGCAAACAAATCAGAGATGCAACATGCCACTTGACTGAAACCATGCTGCTGAAGTGAAGAAATGTAAGAGAAAAATTCAGAGAAAGTAGTGTTTCCATAGTGAGAGCAATAAATATTTATTTATTAAAAATAACATTAATCTATACATTGCAAGCCTGCTTTTTTCTGAAGAGATTTTATGCAATGTTTGCAGGGAATATAGGTAACTATATTCACTGTGAAGTGAAAACTTGTGTTTTGATTCTTCAGTAGAGCTGTTTCCTGAAGTATCTGTAATTAATGTAATTAATGGCTGTACATGTCCATCATATGTGCTTCTTTTTGAGCTGGAAAGTATCATTCAGTACTCTGATATGCAGTGCCTTTCAGTTTTATTTTCTAAACCCTTAAGCCATTCTTAATCTAGAATCACTATAAAATTAAGTTTAAAATGCAATGTTTGAATGTGAACAATTAGAGTTGCGTGTGAGATTCTCCCTTCAGGTTCTTCCTCTTCCCTCTAGATACTGCCTTTGTGGTGTTGATGGTGATACTGTCCTTGCAAGGTATAAAATGATACTAAAATACAGGTAATTAATTTACCATATACAGGATGTTAGAAAAAAAATTAATTTGCATTTATTTAATATTAATATCAGTCAAGTTACCAAGGCTGTTAATTAAAATTAGTGTAAAGGTACAAGTGTGTGTTTGCACATGTGTGACTGAAAAAAATCTCCTTATTTTCCCTTTGTTCTGTCCACTCCTAAATTGAGGGTTATTTATTGCTGCAGTCATACGGATATTAATACACTTTTCTCCATCTGACTTTCTTTTAGCACACTGATTTATGTCAGTACATGGACAAACACCCTGGAGGGCTTCATCCAGAGAATGTGAAGGTAAGAGTCAAAAAGAGCACACATTCAAGGCAAAAACAGCAACAGTGTAAAATGTCATGTCAGTTGTTTAATAGAAACTCATATATTTACTCATATATTTTATATATGAGTAAATGCTATTAACAGTGTTGATAATTCCTCCCCTCCATTCGAACATTTGCCCTTAAGACAAGACAATACTGCTCTTAAACCTCACAGTAAATGTGCTTTATGGTGTCAGTGCTAGATCTTTAGTGAGGTAAGTCAGCGTAGGTTCACCAAGTTTGAGGGAACTGTAATGAATGTTATCAGCTGAATGTACTGATTTTTATGAGCAGCTAAAATATTCCCCAATCTTTTTGCTCACTTTGATGAAGCATTTTAATAGCTGATCTCACTTTGGAGTTTTTTTCTTTCTAAGGTAGATACTTGGAATCATCATGCAAGAAAGAGGGGGTTTAATAGCAGGATTTAATGGAAGTATAGATGGGTAGAGACTTGATCGAGTTACTTTTTGGGAAGCCAGCCAAATGATTTTAGCATTAAATGGAAGCCAACCAGACATGCAGAATGTGTTGTGTGTATATAGATCACTCAGATAATATTTGTTACAACTGTCTTGCACTTCAACGTCAGTCCCATTGTTGTTCTACTTTGGAAGTGTTTAAATCTTTACTTGTCATACTGAGAGCTTTATTCCAGTATTTAACTTCTTGAAATTTAGAAGTTCATGATAAAAAAGAACTCTCTCTTTTCTGGAAAACTCAGAAGGCCTGTTTGGTTTAAGAAAAGAAAATGTTTTAAAAAGAGGAAGGATTTTTTTATTCTGCAATAGCTGATCATTGTTGCACATCATCTGATTTTATAGGGTAGTTTCATGACTCTTCTATGTTCTTTGACTGAAAAGTGTCATCTACAACATGTGAATGTAGATGAGAACAACTGCTATCTAACAAATTTAAGGAAAATTCTTCCTTACTTCATATATTTGGCCAAACTAAAAAAAAAAAAAAATTCTTTTTGAAAATGCATGTTATGTTTGCTGCAAGATAGCATTCTTGTAATGTCTGACTGTCACTCAGACATTTTGCTAGTGTGAACAGGGAAAGCCCATGGGTCTTCTCCCACTGCCAGCTTCACAGTGCCTCTGTGAGTGTGGCACTTTTACATTTGTCTCTCTGAGGTTTGGTATAAGTGAAGACTGGCTTTGAAGGTTCTTTGTGCTCCTTCAGATTTGTAAGGCTGCAGTTCTGTATAGTTGGAGGTCTGATATGCAGTAGTCATTGTAGCTGTAATTGTTCACTGCTAAAAAGACATTATAATACACATAATTGTACTTTCATTTGATATTATCAGGGCCCAGTGAGCTTGTCTTTGAGGAGGATGGGCATAGGCAGATAGTTGGGCTTGCTAATGTATCAATCCTCTAAATCCTGAGATACCTGTCTTTTAAAACAGTAGCCACAGAGGGAACAGATTTTGCTGCATGTATTCCCGTCTTTTTTGCTGCATGACTGTCTTTACCACCTAACAACAGTGCTCAGCAACACTTCCAAAGCTTATAGACACATTAGAAATATTTTTTTGAGTAAGCGCATGTAGAGTCCTGAGGTACTACTAGTTCAAATTTTTTAAAGCCCAAATGGATTTTTAATAAAAGGAAACTGGAGGGGGGGGGAAGTGAAAAAAAAATTTGGAAGTTGGAGCAGATGAAACTACTCTTCTACCATGAGGAATCCCTTTTAACAATTCTTTTTCTCTTCAATAATATTAATGAAAATCAGTTGTATATATTTAGTGGACTCTCTTGCCAGGCCAGCAGCAAAGGCTAGTGTTAATTTACGCAGTAATTAAAACCTGGCATGATGATTTTAACTCCTACCAATTTAAAACTGAATCAGCCAGCTTGAGTTTTTCATTGAATACCTGCTCTCAAAGCTGAGTGAAAAATAGTCCAAGACTAGGCTGTCAGGACAAGAACCCAGTCATGTATGTTAAAAACTCCCAGACGTTCACCAGCATGCCAAACTGAAAGCTTGCACTACTCTTTTCTTACAGAGGAAGTAAGATGGTTACTTCATAATATCTTAATGCTTTGTTGTGCTGTACTCAGCTTGTCGATTTATGTAATTGTGGTTCTGAGACTTTGCCACCTATGTTGGTTTTAGCTTCTGGACAAAGTTGTCTATTTGGAGCTACAGCTGATTTTTAAGGGTTGAGCTGAGCCATGTTAATTAGCCTTCTCTCCCTGCCAGCCCCTTCTTGCTAGAGGTCCTTCAGGAATTTCACTTTTAGTCAGAGTTTTGGACAGTGTTTGTTCAGAATCAGTGGTTGTGTGATCCCTAAATCCATTTTAAAAACTTCCAGTTGAGCAATTATATTCCAGTAGCAATAAATTAGTCTCAGCTCTCTGGGGCTAACCTGTGGGATTAAGCCCATTAATGCTCTCCCAGTATGACAAAAGACCCCCTGCCTTTTAATTTTGTTCTTGAGGAAAGTATTGCCTGCTGATAGATATTCCTTTCTGGCTTGTTGCCAGTTATTATAAACACAAAACCACATAATCAAACACCTTTCTTTATCCAAAGAATATATGAGGTAGTTCCTGTAAAACAGTACTTTATATGAAGGCAAAAAAACCCCCATTATTTAATTACGTTTTGTTTTCTATGAGACATCTCCAACCTAATTATATTTCTGAATTTTCTCTGTATTTACAAGCTAAAGACAATGCTTGTTCCCTCAGGCTTACTTTTAAATGAAGAATTGTAAATAGAATAAAAATCCAAATTACTTTGACGGACACACATATTTCTGTCCCCTCGGGCATTGTGTTTGACATTGCCTTTCTTTGTGGTTTCAAATAGGCTATTTGCTGTCACTTAAATATTTTAAATAAAGACTAAGCAGGGTATTATAAGTATGTGGAAGTAGAAACAAGAATGTCTCAATTGGCAGTTGTAGAAGTCTTGGGACGGTATGTTAAGGCAAATAAAACAATATTGCTTCCCAAAGTGTTAGGTTTAGCGTTTTTAATGGTATGTGTGTATTGACACATAATGATTTAAGAATTTTATAATTCATGCATGGAGGTGCAAGTCTTACAAATAACATCAGGCTTTAAACCCTTCAAAGATTTTTGTGTGAAGGTGAGATGTTGTTTTAAAAATATCTGTCCCTGAGAACTTTAAACCAAGTATCCTTGGTAAACACAATTGTTTACATCTTTCGTAACTAACACGCTTGCATGTCTACCATTTATTTATAACTATATATTAATATACTTTGTACAGTGTTATAGTTAGAGATGATGAGAAAAAAGGTAATCAGTTAAAAAGTTCTTGTGTAGTAGGCAGGGCCTCATCTTCTCTTGTCTGATTTTGAAGATATCTTCCTCAGTTTTTCCAGAACTGAAGGCACACAATAAATATTAAATACATGGCCCCACATATAATTATATTTCCTTTGGAAACTACTGCTGCAGCCTTGTACGTGATTGGACATATGAGTTGATTTGTAAGTGTACTGTGTGGCACTTGCCAAGCTTCAAAATGTGCTGTGGCAAACTGAGGTACAAGATTTGCTGCTGACTCTCCTTGTGCTGCTTCTGCTGGCCTGGACTACTGAAATCTATACTCCTGGCTTTCTTTCCTGCAGCTGTTCCAGCCTTTAGAGATAGTCCAGGCTCAGCTGAAATATCTGGATTGCTTCCTAGAGCAGGAACTCTAGTGGGTCATAACAAGTAACTGACTCTACCAGTGATTTTTTTTTTATTATGATCTTCATTCTGATTTATGTCCCTTAAGTATCTTTTTTGTGCATTTCAGCATGTCCCGTGAAAATGTAACTGTTCTTAACTTCTTCTAACATTTGAAATATCATCTTTATTATAACCGTGTCTTTACTCCATATTATTACGTTCCCGGTAATGCACATAAATTGCTCTTTATATCTTGATGCATTTGTTTTATAGCTGAGTTTGTTTACTGTAGCTCCTGTTACTGGTGGAATAAATGGAGCAGAGGCTTGCATCTGTCATGCCTGCATGGCCTGTTTGCATCCCTGCCTTAAAAATAAATCTATTAATGAAAGCTGATTTGCTTCTTAATTAGTGATACTGCCTTGAAATAGCTGTAGTCTTTGAGAAAAGCATCCTCATATTTTTCTCTCTTTTTTTTTCTTCTACTTTCAGTGTTAGAGGTAATATTGATTTGTGCGAGCATTTGGCAGAAAAACCCCCGTCTTTGACAAAATAAAAAGGCACTTGCCTGTGACCTACTGTTCCTTAATTCATGCAACACCAGCCTGAATGGCAATGGATTGTCAACCAGGCAAAAAAAGGTCTCAGAACCTTTTACTTCAGGCAAGTTGGAAGGCTCCTGTAGTCTACTGTGACCAGAGGGGGATGGAACTTCCAGTTTGTTCTTATTCTATCTAATATTGCTGCACTGATTTGTTCTTCTCCCTGGGCACCTTTTCTCTTCCTTGGGCCAAACAGAGATAAGAAATAGACAGACCCTCTTGCTGAGCTTTGCATCAGAAAACAGGAATATTCAGCCTTCTCCCAGGAGCCTTCAAGAATTCAGCTCTTACCCATCTCAATTTTGAGCCTTCCTTGCTCCTAGGAAGCAGGGCACAGCAGTTTTCTATGCATAATGGATGGATATTTTTGAAGGAAAACCTCAACCAACTAAGCCCTACCCCTACCACAACCTTTTAAAATGTGTTTTATCGCTGTCATACTGAGTCAGGGTATGTGGCAAAGTGTGGATTGGAATTTGGGTATTGAGCTTGCTAGGGCAGCCCAATAATCTCTGTAAAATATGCTTAAATTTCAGCAAAAAACTAAAATTAGTTTGTCTTAAAACTTTTAAAAAATGGTTTAAAGAAATGTAATTGATAGGAAATAATGAAACATAATGGGATGCTGCAGCATTTTTCTGTGCTAAATGCTCAAGAAGAGGTTGGTCAACTTTATAGCAATTATGTAGTTAAAAAAATAATAGTAAAACCCCCAAATC